CGTTTAAAGCTATGAAATTTATGGTCTATCGTTGTGTAATTTTCATCTATGGCCGTGATGATGAATCCGGTGCCTGGTTGTCCTGACGCTTTACATGTCATATATGACTGGCGAACTTGAGTATAAAGCCAAGGTGTCGTATCTCTCGGCCTTGGCCTTCAATACATTGGTTAGTGGTTTATGACCCATGTAAATTATAGATCCCCTGTCTTCCAACATGTGTCGGATATTTCTTATGGTTATGTAGATCGATTAGAGGGCTGATCCGAAGGTAGAGTTGTGACAATTTAAGTCGGGTGGTTAGAAATTGACTGAAAGTATCTTGTTAACGTTAAGACATAATCGATCATGTGTTTATTTGCTTTCTCATTTCGCGTGGGGATTGTATCTCATATTATTCCATATTGAATGTCTGAATGTTCATGAATTTGAATCCAACTGTTCCACCCCATGATCTGAATAAAAACCTATGGCAATCACTAACCTAGTTTTTTCACACAGAAGCAAGGGGTATCTACCGATATGAAGGTGTATCTCGCCTCTACTGGTGACAGGCCTTTGGGATAGAACTCAGTCGTTTGCCCGGTGCTCTCAGCCAGTTGACTGAGGTCACCGCGTACTGCTTTGTCAGGAGCATCTGCCATCATTTGGGGTGAGGAATCGGAATTCGGATGCATCAACATAGTTTCTTGAGCTAGTTTATTCCTTAACTGTTTAACAGCGTCAACAACTTCAGACGTCAACTTAAATTTTCTGTTTTCCTCAAGGAGAATCTGTTGATGCTTGGATTAGTTGTGCACAACCAGATATGAATCGACAACAAAATTTAGCTCAACTTAGAAAACCTCCAAGTCGTTTTTAGAGACAAAGGTATGGGATATTGCCTAATTATGTGCACCGCTGATCGGTATCATGCCTTATGAGCTTATTGTGTGTCCGAGAAATTCTAAAGTTTGAGCTCCGACAACGCACTTACTATGAAGTAAGTGTGCTCTATATTTATCTAGTCGTCGTTTATCGCACTCACGTGCTGTTCAAGTACACTTAATTCTGGACCGTAAGTTCACAAATCACCCATATACTTTTGTGCAAAAGACATCTCGGAGTAGGTTGTTCGCAAAACTTTGAAATGTTTGTCCCCAGTTCCTCAGGCCGAATAACGTGCATGCAAGCTTGACTAGTCCAAAAGGTGTGGTATTAGTTGTCCTAGTGATTTCGTACTTGGTTTTTGGGATATTGTGATATACCCTGACCAAGTCAATTTCAGTAAACATGTTCACATCCTGTAAACCATCGGCAAAATGTTGAACACGATGTATTTTGCACTTACGTGTCACAGTTTGACAAGTGAGGGGTCGCCGATCCCTACGCAGTCACCAGTCACTTATTTTTCTTTGGGACCATGTGTAAAGGGGTTGACTATTGGATATCAAAAGGACGGATAATACCCATCTGTAGCATACAGTAGGAGTAGGCTCTAGCGACTTTAAGTTTGTCTGCCGCCGGTCTCCTAGGTCTAGCAGACGTAGATGTGTCTTGAGTTTTAGTTGTATGACGTACTCTTAGCTTTCTTTTGGCAGTTTGAGCATTGGGTTTGGTTGTTTAACGAGTATGTTCTGAGATTTGGCAGTTGTTACTGAAAGAGTTCGTATGATATTTACAGAAGTGGTGTGACTTTCTTTCCTTTCTGTGTAATTCCACATTTCATTAGGTATCGAACTTCGTTTCCCAGTATTGACTTGGAGTTCATACCTCCTTAAAAATCCTATTCCCAGTGCTACCGGTTCTATATCACTTAGGATCACTTGTGACGCCTTCGGTTGAAGTCCGATATTCTTCTGACGTCACAGGGCCGGTTCTACTTCTTACAACCAGAGAAACAATTTTTATTGGTAAATGAAACCTCCAGACAATGTGAAAGACAAGAAGGACCAGTTAAATAGTAACGGATATGAGGAGATACAACTTCGCGAAAACGATTGGACAGCAAAGGCTAGGTACGGGAGAGATGGTGATGTATTTCCGATCACGAAGAAGAAAATGCTCCATGCACTCATGGAGTTGCTCTTATGATGATGTCCAAAGAAGCACAAAGTGCAATTGTAGGATGGGAATCTCATGGATTCAGAATAATCAAAGCATCCTTCGAAACAAAGAAGGAGGGGATCACAATGAATGTTATCTAATGTTATGCACCCACCAATGATAGCAAAGATAACGATAAAGATCGGTTCTATGAAAGGCTGCAATCAATCATAGCTAAGTGCACAAGAAAGAACCTCATCATCCTGATGGGAGGTGTAAACGCTAGAGTCGGAATGGAAAACAATGAATATGAAGATATAATTGGACGACAGAGACTGGGAGAGAGAAATGAAAATGGGGAGAGGTTTGCGAATTTATGCGCATTCAACAAATTGATTATAAGCGGCACAATATTTCCACACACACGCATATACAAAGCTACATGGATCTCACCGGACCACGCCACAGAGAACAAAATAAATCATTTGTATCAACAAAACATTTACAAGGACAATGGAAAATGTGAGAACCCGGAGAGGAGCTGACATAGCTTCAGATCACCACCTGGTTTTGGCCAAAATGAGACTGAAGCTAAAGAAAGACTTGACAACCGGACAAACAGCAGTACACAGGTTTAACACAGTTTATCTTCGACATACTGACAAACTCAACCAATTCAAAATAGTTCTCAACAACAGGTTCCAAGCTTTACAGGATCTACTGAAAGAACAAGAAACTACAACGGAGGACAACTAGAAAGGGATTAAGGAAGAATTAACTTTAACGTTTCAGGAGGTTCCTGGTCGCAAGAAACATAATCATAATGAATGGATATCTGTGGGAGCCGTGGACAAGATTGATGAAAGAAAGAACATGAAAATAGCAATTAACAACATTCGAACACGAGCAGAGGAAGTCAAGACACAAGTTGAGTATACAGAAGCAAACAAGCAAGTGAAGAAGAGCATTAAAGCTGACAAGTAGAAATCATGGGAGAACTAGAAATGACGGCGGAAAAAGCTGTAAGAGAAATAAATGTGAAATAACTATACGACACAATGAATAAGCTGACAGGGAAATATAGTAAACCGGAGAGACCAGTAAAGGACAAAGAAGACAATCGTGGAGATTCAAGAACAGAGGAACATATGTGTAGGATACTTCGAGGAACTGTTGAATAAATCAGCCTCACTGAATAGATCAGATATCGAAGCAGCACATGCAAACATTTTTATAAATGTCATTCCATCAACGATCGAAGAATTCAAAATGTTCATAAGTCAAATCAATAGTGGGAAATCAGCAGCACCTGACAATATACCACCTGAAGTACTAAGGTCAGACATTAAAGTAACTGCAGCCATGATCCACGTTCTTTTCAGGAAGATTCAGGAGGAAGAATTAGTGCCAGTGACATAATGGAAAGAAGGACACCTCACCAAGGTACCAAGGAAAGTAGATCTGAACAAATGTAAGAACTAACTTGAGAAGCATCACACCACTATCTGTACCAGGAGGCATTTTCAGCAGAGTGTTGCTGAACTGGATGGAAGATTCAGAAGAATCACAACTTCGAGATCAACAGGTTGGATTCCGTAAGGATAGGTCGTGCACTAACCGAATTGCGACACTACGGATCATCGTTGAACAATCAATTGAATGGAATTCGTCAGTATATGACAACGTATTTGACAGTGAGAAAACATTTGATAGTGTGGATAGGAAAACATTATGGAAACTTCTTTGACACCATGGAGTTACTGAGAAGATTGCCAACATTATCTTGAACTCATACGACCGACTACAGTGCGAAGTCTTGCATGGAGGACAGCTGTTTGATGCATTCCAAATGAGGATCAATGTCAAATAAGGCTGCCTACTCTCCCCCTTCTTCTTTCTTCTGGTGGCCCACTGGATTATGAAGACTTCTACATCTGACAGGAAGAATATTTTACAATGGACAACTCAGAATCAATTAGACGATTTGGACTTCGCAGAGGACCTATCCCTTCTATTCCATACTCACGAACAAATGCAGATGTAGACAACTAGTATAGCAGCAGCCTCTATATCAATAAGCCTCAACATACACAAAGGAAAAAGAAAAATCCTCAAATGCAACACGGCGAACACCAGTCCATTTATACTTGATGGCGAAACTCTGGAAGACGTAGAAACATTCACGTACCTGGGAGGCATCATCGATGAACAAGGAGGGTCTGATGCAGAAGTAGAGGCGAGGATAGACAAATCAAGGACAACATTCCTACAGTTGAAGGACATATGGAACTCAAAACATCTGTCAATCAATATAAAAGTGGGGATCTTTAATACGAATGTCAAGACAGTTCTACTGTAGGGAGTTGAAACTTTGAGGACTACTACAACCATCGTCAAGAATGCATAAGAATTTATAAACAATAGTCTACGTAAGATACTCAATGTCCGCCGTCGACCAAATACTATTAGAAACAGTCTATCGTGGTGGAAGATAAACCAGCTTTCAGACGAAGAGGAAATTTGGAAGAGACGTTATGGCCGGATAGGACATAAATTGAGGAAATCACCAAACTGCATCAGGAGGCGAACGCTAACTTGGAGTCCTGAAGGAAAGCGAAAAAATGGAAGGCCAAAGAACACGTCTTGTCGAGAAATAGAAGCACATATGAGAAGGATGAGTGTGACCTGGGAAGGATTGTCCAGGACAGGGTTGAATGGAGACTGCTGTTGGGCAGCCTATGCTCCTCCGTGAAGGGTAGCAGGTATAGGTAGTAAGCAAATTGGTTCGAATAGGCTAATCGATTTGCAGTTTTAATATTGATACTGGGGACTAAACAGGTAACATATGTATTTGACAGTCACTCCAACAACAACGTAATTTTATGAACAAATCAATCTCTCGTCTCACTGGGTTCTTTGATTTAACTGTTGTCTGTGACTTTTCGAGAGAGCGCGTTTGAATATTAAGGAGAAAAATGGGGAATGAAGCTTCTCTTCCAGATCTTTGCTCTACATTTGACGTTGAAGAAATAAAACGTTTGGCTAAACGGTTTAAAAAACTAGATCTTGATGGTTCTGGATCTTTAAGTGTAAAAGAGTTCATGAGTCTTCCTGAACTTCAACAAAACCCTTTAGTTGCAAGAGTTATCGAGATTTTTGATACGGATGGCAACGGAGAAGTTGACTTCAAGGAATTCATAGATGGAATGTCACAGTTCAGCGTGAAGGGTGAGAAAGAAGCCAAGTTGAAATTTGCGTTCAAAATATACGACATGGACAAAGATGGGTACATCAGTAATGGCGAATTATTTCAGGTTAGACTAATTTTCCCACTGTAGGAGATTAAAATATGTTATCATGTCAAAGGTTGAATACATTCGCTTAACTTGATCAAACAATGTTAATTTGAGGATGACATGTAACGTGTCTGAACATCTGACATACTCTTCTTTGCAATCTTTTTATAGCTTGTAGAAGGTATAAGGAATTGTCTTTAATCTGTAAGCAGCTTTGATACGCCGACAGGTAATAATCGTCCTGGGTTTGTGAAATTCTTTGGAACACTGTGAATTCTTTGTTTTAGAACGCAAGAAAAAGCATATTGGGTGCTAATTTATCACTGAGTAGCCTAAAATGTAATCAAGTCAAGGATAATAGGTTTAGTTTAGCATATTTCTCATCACACAACGATCTTAAGACTCCAAGAATCAGATTGGTTGCGGCTCTTTAAACCGCTTACAACAGCTCATTATCTTCTTGAACAGGGATCAGCGGCCTGTATGCAGTACTCGAGTTTAGGACGAATAAACACTGTATACAGAGTCTAAAAAGTCTAGGTATCGACAAGGCTAAAGGCTCTACGTATTAACCAAAGGTTTTTAAAGCCGTCGGTGGCTATCACTTCGGTGTGCAGTAGTTTTCAAGTCTTAGTCAACGACAACTAGGTCATTGAGTGTCTGGGGCAGGTAGCTTAATGTTATTCACCATGTATGTGTCTTTACCCTGGTGGCCATAATGCATCATAATACATTTGGAATTATTCGTCAGCAGTTGTCAAATTCCAGACGATTTAGACGATTTTTGCAGATCATTTTGAAGTCCCAAACTGTGTTATTCCTTTCTTATCACTCTCCATATCTTAGTATCGTCAGTAAATAACAAAGCGAATGATGACGGGATACTGAGGTTCATTTACATTTTAAAGGAACAATACTGGCCCTAAAAGTATACCCCTTGTCACTCCACTAATCACAGTCTTCCAGAGCCCCCCAAATGTTCTGGTATGGCCGAGAGTGGGGAGAGTCACCTCTCCTCGAAATACTCTCACATGGTCATGCGTAATATAGCCTCTGCCAGGGAAGTCCTACTCACTGCCTTCTCGTGGCATCACTGTTGTTTACGAAATTGAGAGGATGAAAAGCGAATGTACGCCGCTTTAACCGGGTTGGTGGACACGGATAGTCCACCTAGGGGAGTTGGCAAACCCTGATTCCAAACCAATGGTGCACATGGGCTCCAGGATCCTGGAGGAACGAATGGCGTATGAACCAATTGTTGGTCACCGGCTACCATGGGAATGCATCACTTCACGATGCTCCACTGCCTTGTGGATCAGACCTTTAGGTCGAAGGCTCCGGGTGTGGCCCCCTAAGAAAACCACTTGCTTCGGTTTGGGCACCTCAGCAGTATCACAGCCCTCACACAAATCTCATTTGATTTGTGAGGCGCATATGTATTTGGTGCTTCCTTGTACCAATATTTGTGTATAAATAAAATTAAAATGTCTTCCAGCTAGACAGCTTGGAGCTAACCCGTACTATTTGCTGACGTCCATCTGGGAAACTCTTTATCCACATAAATAAGTTGCCATCAATCGCGACACCACTTGACATAGATAACAATCTTTTGTATGAACTTTGTTGTAAGCCTTATTAAAGTCAGTGGAAGTTATGTTTATAGGTACCTTTTGATCTTTAAGACTATATCAACTTTCACAGGCCACTAACAAGTTTGTGAGACATGACTAACCTGGTCCAAAACCTTACTGCTGCGCAAACAACTTACGAATAGTCTCCGAAATCTTAATGCTGGTTAGGCGAATTGGTCGATAGTTTGTGTCTCGTACCTGTTTTGAAGACGACTTGCTATGGCGTCCTCCCAGTCTTTTGGTAATCTAGCTTGAATTACGAATAGGCCGGAATATATCGCAAGAGATTTGGGATATAATTGCTAGTTCTTTTAGTAGTCTAGGATGCATTGTATCAGGTCACATGGATTTATCCATATCAAGCTTATTTAACAGATCAAGTACGTCGAGTTCTTTAATGAACATTATGTGCAGAGCGTGTATGGAAGGCCCCCAAATGCCCTAGTACGGCCGAGAGTGGGGAGAGTCTACTCTCCCTCTCGAAATGCTCTCACATGGCCAGCGAATATATAGCCTCTGCCAGGGAAGTCCTACTCACTGCCTTCTCGTGGCGGGGGTGTTGTTTACGAAAGTGAGAGGCGAAAAGCGAATGTCCGGCGCTATAACCGGATTGGTGGACACGGAGGGTCCACCTAGGGGAGTTGGAAAACCCTGATTCCAAACCAATGGTGCACATGGGCTCCAGTATCCTGATGGAACGAATGGCGGAAGAACCTGTCATTGGTCAACGGCAACCATGGGACTGCATCTCCTCACGATGCTCCACTGCCTTGTGGATCAGACCTTTAGGTCAAAGGCTCGGGGTGTGGTCCCCTAAGAAAACCACCTGCTTCGGTTTGGGCACCCGGGCAGTATCACAGCCCACACACAAATGAATGAAATTATGAACTCTATTGACGATAATATCCCTGGTCATACTAAAAGCAAGACAATTAACATTATTATTATTATTATTATTATTATTATTATTATTATTATTTACCATATCGCTAACTCACCCCCTTTTATCCCCAATTTGTGTAACCTTACTTTTCAACTTATGCAGCAGCTCGCCCATGGTGGAAAATCTGTCCTATCTAAACGATCTCCAGTCACTGTCTGGTTGAAAGTGAATGCTTCCACCGATAATGAATACTGAAGCAGTCTTTCTGAAACCACGTACGCCGTTCAAGCTGGCTTCCTTCAACGTTCGCACACTAATGCATATCAGACAACAGATAGGGCTGGCTATGTCTTTGGAAGGTCTTAATGTTGATGTTTGTTGTCTATCCGAGACCCGTATTCAAGACTCTAGTGAAGTACTACAAATCCGCTCTCCATCTGTCGCCTCGAAGAGCTTGTTCCACGTGCGCTTATCCGGGGACCCTGTGGCATCTTCGTCTGGTCTTGCTGGCGTTGGTGTTGCACTAAGCGCTAGAGCTGAGGCAGCACTAATCGATTGGATCCCCATTAACAGTCGTTTATGTGCTGTTAGATTAGAAAGTCCCATCAAAGTGAGAAGAAATCGGCGTGAGAAACGGTGTCTTTTCGTCATCTCCGCCTATGCCCCGACAGATTGCAGCCCGGATGCAATCAAGGATGAGTTTTACCATCAGTTAACAGTTCTTCTCCAGAAAGCGCGTTCGACAGATATTGTAGTACTAGCCGGAGACTTGAATGCACAGGTCGGGCGTCTAGGCACAGAAGAGAGTCGTCTAGGTGGCCGATGGGGACTTGTTGGTCGCAGGACAGATAACGGGGACCGTTTGCTGCAACTGTGCACAGACCACAACCTGTTTCTGGCCAGCACTAACTTCCGGCACAGTCATCGCCGGTGTGCCACCTGGCGTCCTCCCTCTGCATCCCAAGCCTGGACTCAGATTGATCACATCGCGATCAGCTACCGCTGGCGTGGTTGTGTACAAGACTGCCGCTCCTTTTGGAGTACCTATCTGGAGTCTGATCATGCCCTGGTCTGCGCCAATCTCATCTTACTTTTCAGTGGCCGAAGGATTGACCACCACCAACGGATTGATATTAGTAAACTGGCTGCAACTTCTGTTGCAAGTAAGTATCGAGCGGAGCTAGCCTCTAGGCTAGCTACCACCCCACCGAAAAGTATAGATGAGCATTGGTTGCATCTTCACGACGCCATGAAAATGGCGAGTAAAGCCGCCTGCGGCTTCGCGAAACGTCCCGCTTACAAGCACTGGGTTTCTTCTGGCTCCTTACAACTGATGGAAGCCCGTCGGTCTACTCCGGGTGACCGTGAGTTTGACCACAAACGAAGGCTGTTACGTAATGAAATCGGGCAAAGCTTGCGTAAGGACCGGGAAGCCTGGTGGTCGGAGCGTGCTAATGAGATGGAAGCAGCAGCTGCATCTGGCAACTGCCGGAAGCTCTTCCAACTCATCCGAGCCACTGGCAGCAAGAAGTCTGGTGTGAGTGAAACAATCTACGAGGATGACGGGATGCCAATCACTAACATCTGTCGACGTCTTGGACGATGGGCGGAATTTTTCGAAGGGCAGTTCAACTGGCCTGCTGCTCCGGCAACATCGACCAGTTTGTCCTGCCCCCCATGGCCGGTGACGACTGATCCACCAAACGAGGCGGAAGTCCTCAAGGAACTCCAACTCTTGAAACGTTATAAATCATCTGGCCCAGATGACTTACCTCCGGCTCTTTTTAAAGATGGTGGTGACTTTCTGGCTAAGGAACTGACTGCGTTGTTTGGAAAGGTTTGGGAGCAAGAAAGTGTTCCAACATCTTGGAATGAGTCAATAGTCGTCCCTATCTTTAAAAAGGGTTCACGTTGTTCCTGCAATAACTACGGGGGGATAAGTCTACTTTCGATTGCGTCCAAACTATTGGCTTCTATCATTCTTCGTAGGTTGTTTAAAACCCGAGAACGATTGACTCGCGAGGAGCAGGCTGGTTTTCGTTCTGGTCGAGGATGCATTGATCACATCTTCACCCTCCGCCAAATGTTAGAACACCGTCATACTTATCGCAGGCCAACAATCGTAGTGTTTCTTGATATCAGGGCTGCCTTCGATTCGTTGGACAGGACTGTTCTCTGGGATTGTCTATTGAAGAAGGGTGTGCCTGAGAAGTTCATTAACATCTTAAAGGCCCTGTATACGAACACCTCAGGCAGAGTGAGGGCATACAACCACCTTTCTCCCTTGTTCCATTCGAGCAGTGGGGTTAGGCAGGGTTGCCCGATCTCACCATTCGTCTTCAACCTTGCCATCGACGACATCCTAGAAACAGCTCTGATGGATGTAAGTAATGGCGGTGTGGATATGTTGCCTGGAGAACGACTTCTCGACCTTGAGTATGCGGATGATATTGTCTTACTGTGCGATAATGCCCAAGGCATGCAATCAGCACTTAATCAGTTGGCAATCAGTGTCCGCAGGTACGGCATGTGCTTTGCACCCTCCAAGTGCAAAGTACTCCTACAAGACTGGCAGGATTCTCATCCTGTACTCACCCTGGATGGTGAGGAGATCGAAGTAGTTGAGAAGTTCGTGTATCTAGGTAGCTATATAAGTGCTGGTGGTGGCGTGAGTGATGAGATTGATGCACGTATAATGAAAGCCAGAGCGGCTTATGCCAATCTGGGCCATCTTTGGCGCCTTCGTGATGTTAGTCTGGCTGTAAAAGGTCGGATCTACAACGCGTCGGTGAGAGCAGTTTTGCTCTATGCTTGTGAAACCTGGCCTCTCCGAGTTGAGGATGTTAGACGTCTCTCTGTGTTCGATCATCGTTGTCTCCGAAGGATTGCTGACATCCAGTGGCAACACCATGTTAGTAATGCAGAGGTTCGGCATCGTGTGTTCGGGCGCAGAGAGGATAATTCAATTGGTGTCACCATCTTGAAACACCGACTTCGGTGGCTCGGACATGTTTTACGAATGTCGTCCCAGAGACTTCCACGTCGTGCATTATTTGCCGACCCTGGGACTGGTTGGAGAAAGCGGAGAGGAGGTCAGTGAATGACTTGGTGTTGTGGCATGAAAGAGAGCTGCAAAGGGCTAGCTTTTGTTGGTCCTTCACGACTCCCTGGTTGGGGTCCGAGAGATAGTGCAACACAGTGGCTAGAGACGTTATCAGATATGGCTCAGAATAGAAGCCAGTGGCGAGCCTGCTGCAACCTTCTTTTACTTTCTACATAAAGAATGGTTCTAACTTTCCTAACTGAAAGAGTCTTCTGGTTGTACATTTCAGTCCGCCTTATCTTTTCATCCTTTATCTTCCTACTTTCATTATTTTGTGTGGCGCATATGTACCTGGTGCCCTTTTGTACCAATATATATGTGTTTAAATAAATAAATAAATAATGGAAGGATTTGTACAAACTGGATAGAAGGACGTTTCTAAAGTATA